AGGAGGTTCATACAGAATTTTTTCACCATATCTAGACCATTATGTGACCTCCTAGCTAAAGATGCCCCGTTTGAGTGGACACAAGCTTGTCAAGAGGCCTTAAAACGTTAATTGGCAAGCTTACCTCAGCACCCATAATGCAGACACCTGATTGGACTTTACCTTTGAGATCATGTATGATGTTAGTGATTTTGTTGTGGGTGTTGTTCTTAGACAGCGAAGAGAGGGGAAGCCTTTTGTCATTTACTATGCTAGTAGAACTCTAAATAGTGCTCAGATGAATTATTCCACCACGAAAAAAGAGTTACTAGCTGTAGTGTTTGCTTTGGATAAGTTTCGTGCTTATTTAATTGGTTCTCCTATTATTATTTTCACAGATCATGCAACCCTTAAGTACCTTCTTACAAAGAAGGATGCTAAGGCACAACTAATACGGTGGATTTTACTTTTGCAAGAATTTGACATCACCATCAAAGACAAGAAAGGAGTGGAGAACGTAGTGGCTGACCATCTCTCGAGGCTCACATTTGAGGATACCTCTGACCATCTACCAATCAAGGATGATTTTCCCGATGAACATTTACTTTATGTTACTTCTCTACCATGGTTTGCTCATATTGTGAATTATTTGGCTGCAGGTGAGATACCGGTGGATTGGAGCGCTCAGGACAAGAGGAAGTTCATGACTGAGGTACGAAATTTATATTGGGATGACCCTTTTCTTTTCAAATACTGTCCTGATCAAATTTTAAGGCGTTGCATCCCTAATGAGGAGATTGCCAGCGTCTTGGAATTTTGTCACTCCCAAGCTTGTGGGGGCCACTTTTCAATGAAGAAAACCGCTGCAAAAATTCTGCAGTGTGGATTTTATTGGCCCACCTTGTTTAAGGATGCAAACATCTATTGTCGCTCATGTGAAAAGTGTCAAAAATTAGGAGTTATGTCCCGTCGTAATATGATGCCCTTAAACCCAATTTTAGTGATTGAAATTTTTGATTGTTGGGGCATTGATTTTATGGGACCATTTCCTCCTTCTTTTGGATATCAATATATTATTGTGGCAATAGATTATGTGACAAAATGGGTAGAGGCAACATCTTGCAGGAGCAATGATAATAAGACGGTAATTAAATTTCTCAAAGAGAATGTGTTATCTCGATTTGGTATACCACATGCTATCATTAGTGACCGAGGTACTCATTTTTGTAATTGTTCTTTTGAGGCTTTAATGAAAAAATATGGGGTGGTACATAAGATCTCTACTGCCTATCACCCTCAGACGAGTGGACAAGTAGAACTTGCAAATAGGGAAATTAAGCAAATTTTAGAAAAAACGGTAAACCCGGATCGCAAGGATTGATCTTTGAGACTAGTTGATGCGCTTTGGGCCTATCGTACAGCTTTCAAAACTACCTTAGGCATGTCACCTTATAGGCTTGTTTTTGGAAAGCCTTGTCACTTACCTGTGGAGCTCGAACATCGAGCCTATTGGGTCATCAAGCATTTCAATTTTGACATGTGAGCAGCAGGTAAACTTAGAAAATTTCAGTTGACCGAATTAGAGGAGTTGAGAAATGATGCTTATGAGAACTCTAAAATCTATAAGGCTAAAATGAAAGCGTTTCATGATAAAAGTATTTTGAGAAAAACGTTTAAGCCTAATGATCGAGTGTTTTTATATGATTCTAGACTCCATAAGTACCCTGAAAAACTTAGGTCTAGGTGGACCGACACTTTTATAGTGAAGAACGTTTTTGCATATGGGGCGGTGGAAATAGATAATCCTAAGGATGATCAGATTTTTAAAGTAAATGGTCAACGACTTAAAATATTAATTGATAGGCAAGTTCCAGAAGTGGAAGATATTCCACTTGAGGATCCGGTTTATCAACCTTGACCACACCACGCATGTATGTTTTTCTTTATTTGTTTTATTTTATTTTACTTTTATTTTTCCTTTTAGTTTGCTGTTGTTTTTTTTTTGTTTTTATTAGCAGGTTTGTTTCATTTTGACATGTCAGGTTACCATCTTTGGTGCTTAACGAACTACCCACATCACTCATCAGGTGTATTATACCCTTTTTAGTTATTCCTCATTCAAATTTGATTCTTAAACATTGAGGACAATGCTTCATTTAAGTTGGGGGGGGGTGGATGGTGGTGCAAATTCAATATTTAAAATGTTTGTTGTTACTCTGTGGCATATTTTCCTGTGTGAAATATTTTTAATTCACACGTGCATCATTTTTACAAGTGTACTTATTCTCATTCATAGCTATTTTTGTGAATTCTCCAAAACTATCATAATCAATTTTTTTTCTAAAGCATTCACAGAACCTCTAATGCACTCATTCAAGCTTTGTGGTAAGATGGTGGTTTGACACATGTAACTAGAGAGCTCTTTTGCTTAAGTATTCATATGAGTTTTGGAGAGGATTGAGAGCCTACAACTACAGTAAATTGTGATAAGTGTTCATTGATCTGTTGAACTGGATACTTCTTTTGAGAATATCATTACATGGTTTGTGGTAAGATGGTGGATATACTTGAGATATGACGAAGGTCAACTTAGGATCAACGTTTGAGCCTTTGAAGCTAACCCTTTTCACATTAAACCCCTAGTAGCCAACTTTGAGCCAATAAACACATGTAGCCTTTTCTTTTCATATGCCTACATTATCCATACCTCTCCACATNATCACCCTCAGACGAGTGGACAAGTAGAACTTGCAAATAGGGAAATTAAGCAAATTTTAGAAAAAACGGTAAACCCGGATCGCAAGGATTGATCTTTGAGACTAGTTGATGCGCTTTGGGCCTACCGTACAGCTTTCAAAACTACNTGTAACCTATACACTGATTTTTTCTACCTTTGTTACTTCCAAGTGTGTATTAGATGTGAAAGTCTTTTTTTTTTTTTTTTTTAAAAAAAAGGAGATAGAGAGAGAAAAGGGAAGAACATGAGTTATAAGGTGTTCAAGTGAGTGAGTTTTAAAAAAAAAACAAAACAAAAGCCAAGGTTGGGTAGAAATAGCAAAATGCCAGAGTGACATAATTGTTCACCAAATTTCTTCTACCAAAAAAAAAAAAGGCATTATTCGATGACTTGAAAGTTGAAGAGTACATCAAGTGAGAAATATAGTTTATTGAGAGATTTAACAAGATTCCCTCTGTATGTACTTGGAAGTTTTTGAATCCTTTCCATTTTTTTATATAGCCTCAAAATCTAAGCCACATTACAACCTTTTGTGTTGACTGTTCTGATCCTAAGTAAGATTTTGGGAAAGCATGGTAGAAGTCTCANCTATTTTTTTTTATATAGCCTCAAAACCTAAGCCACATTACAACCTTTTATGTTGACCGTTCTGATCCTAAGTAAAATTTTGGGAAAGCATGATGGAAGTCTCATTTGTTAGTATTCTTATCATAAGATCAATGTTTGTTTGTTGCTTGTACAAAATTACCTAATTCCCCATGAGAGTATGTGCACACCCATTGTCAACTACATAGAGAGAATCTCCACACGAAACACTTTTATACCCGTGAGTTATGGAGTTGAACCTTTTACTTGAGATGTTCTTGATGTTGCATGTGTCAGGGTTTCTGGTTAGATGGATATAGTTTGGAACACACGCACACTCTGTGGATTGCTTCAGGAGAATTGCTTGTAATGGGGTTACTGAATTCGTAAGATTGTTTTGAAATGTGAATCTGGAAAGTGTGACTTGGTAGTCTTTGTGTGTGATATTCTTTAGTTTCTTTCATTGTTTCGGCATGAAAATTTGCTAGGGACTAGCAATGAGTAAGCTGAGGGGTGTGATAAGTGCGCGAAAATATATTTTGAATACCCTATTATTTGATTAAATTGCTGAAATATGAATATAAATAATTATATATAATTTATATAATTGAATTTAATATCTATTCACACTGAGATATAATTGAGCATGATTTATAACATTTTAAATCTTAAATATTGCATTATTGGTTAGTAAGAAATAATTTATTATTGGGCTTTTATATTTATTTTTTTTCTTGATGGCGGTCCATGGAATAAAAAGACTGAAATTGATGTTGCTGCCACGTGGGTCCGGCACTTATANTGGAATTTTATTATTGGACTTTTATATTTGTTTTTTTTTTATGGTAGTCCATGAAATAAAAAGACTGAAATTGATGTTGGTGTCACGTGGGCCCGACACTTATAATTTTTATTGGACTTTATCTTCTTCAAATTACATAAAAATTGGGCTTTGGGGTTGAAACAGAGAAGTTGGAATAAAGAGGGATTAAAGTGAAAAGAACTAGAAAAAGAAAGGAAGGAAGTATAATTTTTAAAAGGATTTTGACTTTTAAGAAACTCTTGTTTCTTCCTTGGTGGGGGGCGGCTGAAAAGGATATAAAGTTCTTTTTTTGTTATATCAAATGAACTTCTTCTGATCCCTTGCCTTTGGTTGGTGTGAAGTGGTTCAAGCTGCTTGCTTATGTAGTTTTCAATCAAGAAATTTTCAGGTTGGCGTGTAGCCATCCATCTTTCTAGCCAGCTCCAACCCATGTTAGGGTCTGTGCCATCGGATTTGGTTTGTTTCTTCTTTGAACAGATTCTGAGCTATAAACAGAACGAATGAAGTTGAGTTTGACATTGGTCTTACTGTCCTTGAATCTATTAAGTTCTCAGATATACCTGTTGTGCAAATGCATAAGCCAGAGCTCTCTCGCGCCTAGTTGCTGCCTCTAATCTGTGTTGAATCCTCATTTCTGATATGCTGCTACACAAGGTGCTATCATCCCAATCTTCCTGTCAACGACATAGAAAATCAAACAATTTCACTTTAAATAACTCAATATTGATTACTTTAATCTTGATCTGCTTGTTCAATGTTTTAGATGGTTCAGTATAATTGAACTGGCACCAACAATGTCAACTGATGACTTCTATGTATGTGGTCTACTGTCAATTGTTCTTGCCCTGACGATTTATTGGGCATTATCATCTACTTTTAGGAATTGGAGCAATAAAAGTTTGGCATTTTTACCTGTAGCTTCAGCACCTGAGTTCTAGCTCTCGGTGGCAATCGAGGGGGCACAGCAAAGCTTTCCTCTCGAAGTGAGAAGGCTACAGCCGAGTTTGCAGTTTGAACTGCGATTGATGTACCTATAGACACCCTACTTGGACTTCCTATTTCTACACCGAGCTCTTGTGCAGCATCCACCAACTTGATTCCTTCATTACGACGCTTTGCCTGAAATTATAAGCACCCAAAATTGCTCAAAAAAAAGGATCTTTTAACTCAGAATTGAGAAGCTGCATAATTTGAAGTAAAATATATTGTTTGGTATTTAACATTATCTTTGTTCAATTGTTCTTACTTTCAATATTCATCAGGAAACTAACATGGTGACAACCAAATATAAACATATACAAATGCATATTTGTCTGAATTTCCACTACAGAACCCACAACATTACCATGAGCTTTGCACTAAACATGTATCAAATTGTTGCAAAATGTGTAAACTTTGTAAGAGACTAATTTTTTTTTTATTCCAACAAAAAAGATGTATAGATAAATTTCTGACTGTGTGAATTGACCAGAAAGCTTCTAAATGCCGACTGGATGACAATTGCTGCATCATCTTTTCGAAACAATTTTGCCGTTGAATTCTGCTTTTCCTCTTGTGTTTCTTCATTGGTTTCTTTGCTTTGGATCTCTCCTTTTTCAGTAAAGTTCTCTATTATGGGTTGTGTGACAGTGGCCTCAGAGTTATTGGCAGAAGCTTTATCCTCTTCCAGAAGTACTGAACTCAATTCAGGCTGTGTAGTAGCAGCTCTGGTGCTCCTAACAGAAGCTGAATCCTCCTCTGCAATGGCTGAATTAAGTTCATCACCACATAGGTAAGACCTAACTGAGCTCCATCTTCTTTTTTCCCCAGCATTGCTCCTTACCTGCTTGGATCAGAATATCAGTAATGTTATTCCCCTCAACAATACCCCGGCGGTCTGTAGACGAAGAATTAAAATAGTTACAGCCAGCTCAGAAACATAAGCATATGGACACAGTGACTTGGAATTTAAGTCAAACTCTGGGGGATTAGATGTGCACATGAATTGACAACTAGCTCATACAAGAAGCATGTAATTATAATGCAACTTCGAGAAAACCAGTAAGCTAAAGTGAAATCAACTCACATTGCTCTCATGGGCTCCAACGGACCGGCTTTTGGAAAAGACACTCCTAACCAGCTCCCCAGTGATACCCATCTCAGCTATGCAATCCCAAAGCAGAATCCTCAAATTGGTTGTCTCTAACTACATAAAAGAAGCCCATCTAGAATTGCAAATGCTTCCTATTTAAATCATGAATGTGAGAAAAAGTGTAAAACTGGTGGTGATATACTTTATTCTGCCAGACTCAGCAAATTGCTTCAATGCTTGTACTGTATACAGCTAAAAGATCAATCAGGATGTTTAATAGAAATAACCACATGTTAAATAGAATTAGGTTGGAAGATCTGAAGGATTTGCAGAACTTTAGAGCTGGAATTGGGCCCTTTAAACAGACAAAGATGAATAAAAACTGTAAAGTGAAGAGGAGATAGAAAGGGGTTGGTTTGAGGAGTACTTAGTTTTATTTGCTTTTGCATTACTTTTTTGCACATGTCTGTCTGCACATTGACCTCATAAAGTTTGCTTGCTGTTGGGGTTATGCCTATTCCTTTGTGTTGATTGCTCTTGCCCTTCTATTAAAGTGGCTCTCATTGAGTTGCTCTGATAGCTTTTTTTTTGTACCATACAAAAACATGACAACCCCAAGTATGTCACTTTTCCTAGTAAGAGTAATTTGATATATATCAATTGCAATGCAAGAGATATAAATAGATCGAAATTAACTTTGATAACTTACATAGATTATGATCAGCAAAATAGCAAAACATTATTCATATAATCGACCCCAATTGTTAGGATAAAAGCCTTCCTTGTTGAGTTGAGAATAAAAATGTCAATACTAAATGATAGTTCAAGTGATAACAATGATAGACTATAAATTCAGACGTCTTGAGTTCGAATTTTGACAATCTCTTATGCTCCATTTGATAGGAATGATGGAAAATAGGAAGGATGAAAAACAGGAAATATTACATTTTTTATCATTCAAGGAAGGAAAATAGGAATGATACACTTTCCTTCCTTTGTGTTTAGTTGGATGGATGAAAAATAAAAATGACTAATTTTTTTTTTTTGTGCTGACTAAGATTAGGGGTGGCAATTGAATTGTGTCGTGCCAGATTTGTGTTGAATCATTATAAGTTTGTGTCGAACATTAGTCAAATTTAAGTCAACTCATTTAATTAATTGTGTCGTGTCAAATTACGAGTTGATTTGTTTATTTTCCTGTCGTTTTCGTGTTGATCCACATAAATTTTGACTAAAAAATATAATGCTAATATTCTATTTTCACTTACTTGAATCAATGTTAATATTTTTTCTACAAACTAAAAATTTACTTAAATAAATATAATAATAATAAGTAAAAATATCTTTTATATATAATAATTATGTCAGTGTTTAATAAATAGTTACAAATAATTAACATTTTATGTCTATAATACTAGTTAAATATGTTAATTTTGTGTTACCGTACAAACGAGAAAATAAAAAAAATATTTATTTTTAAATAAACAGGTTGATGGTGTCAATTTTGAGTTTGATTGATTGAACTGAATATGAGCCTTTTATATTTTTTGTTCGCGTGTTAGGTCATTTTTAAGTTCGTGTCGAGTTATAATCAAATTCGTGTCAAGTTCGAGTCGTGTCATCGTGTTTAATCGAAAATTTTCACCCCTAATTAAGATGAAAGAAAATATTTTATTAATTTAAAATTTTAATATATATATATATATTTTATCATTGTATTTATATATGAAATTAATGTATACATAATATATGTATATATCAAAAGATATATAGACAAATAAGATATATTTCAACATAAATAATTAATTTTTCATCCACTGTCCTTCTAATTTTGGTGAGTTAGAAAGAAAATTAATCCATCAACTTTTTTATCATTCATATTTTTTCTTTTCTTACCAAATATAATATTTTATTTATCCTTCTAATTTTTTCATCTTTCCAACTTTCCATTATATCAAACGGAGTATTAGGGTGAGACCATGAAGAAATTATTTCTCATAAATATCCTAATCCCTGACATAAATGACTTCTTTTGATCGAAAAAAAAATTATTAAAATATGTGTATACTGGTCTCAATACTTTGACTGTTTGAAAAAAAAAAAAAAGGAGAATAGAAACATGGCAATGCCATTGAACCTTGCTTAGGGAACCAAGAGTACTAGTTACAAGAGCACCTGCTTGGTGGTGTCTTGTCGGTACCAAATTGATATGACCCGAAGATGGTCCAAAAAATTGTAAATGAAAAATGCATGTTATGTTACTGTTATGTTATGCAGTGTATAAGTTGCTTAAAGGTTAGCTAGATACATGTTTACATCCTGGCTTTTTAAGTGTAGTTCTGAGTATGAGATGGGATGGGATGGCTTCTACCTCCCTAAGAACCACACGGGCGAGTTAATCCCTTGGTTTGTAGCCAAGGTATTGGGTAACGTATCTGCTAGAGCCAAGCTTTGACTGTGATTGCTCGTCGTTTCTAGCCATCCTCTTCCTTTACCCAAGATTACCCAAGATCTAAGTCGGCAACAACAAAGATCTCTTAGATTCGAAAGCGAATCTTCTAGATGCGACTTGCCAGGGACAGGGCCACGATTTTTTCATATTAGGAACAATTATTATTATGTTGAAGATAACGATGGAACAAACGTCATTACTACTTGTTGCGTTTTACAAATAAATAGTTAATAGACTTGTCAACTGTCAAATTTTGGTAGAATTTTGATTGATCCGAACTCGATTCGAAAATTTGATTCGAACTCAATCTAACTACCTACCTAACGAACTTAGTTCTTCAAGTTCATATCTCAAAATTTTTTAAAAATAAAAGTCGAATGATTCAAGTAATTAAATCAAAGCTGAATTTTAATAAATTATATTTCAATCTCTAACACAATATTATTAAATAATCACTCAATTTTAACTAGAATATTTGTACATGTATGTATGCAATGATATCAGATCACAATTGAATCCGATTTTAGTGTATCAGCAACTATGTAAATCTGCGTCTAATTTCTTCGGCTAACTTTTTAATGGAAACAAATTCTAAATAATTTTAAAATTTTACATGAATCCCCAAAAGTTTAAAAATTAGAGGCTGGGCAAATTGCACCCTAAATCCTCCGGAGTGTGATGTCATTGATTTGCATGGAACTATAGAGAGTCTCGTTGGAGTGGTATTTAAAAATTTATTCTTTATTATAATTTTTTACTTAACAAAAAAATGGTTAACAATAGAATATAGGTCGGCAAGTGTGCTCGTTTGCCAATCGAGTTATGTTATTTGGATCTAAAAATTTGACCTAATTTGTTAATTTAATAATATAGCTTCATTAGAACCATTGAATCAACACCAAATTTCAATATTTGAGGGGACCTAGACTTAATCTAAAAGTCATAATGAATTAAGTTAACAAATTAAGTCAATAAATTAGGCCCCAATAACATTATTGGAGGAAAAATTATTCTTCCAAGGGAGTAAAAGCTACGGATAGAGGTGTTAATCAAGACAAGCTACAAGGTTTTGGACTTAGGCTCGGCTCAAACAAAACTCGGCTTAAACTCGACTCGTATTCTAAACAAACTAAGCATGAACAATTTTTTTGGCTCGTTTTTCTAAACAAGCCTAAAAGGCTCGATTCAAATTCACAAATCTCGATTTGTTTATATGTAAAATAGTCGAGTTACTCAGATCGGCTCAGTTTCGACTCAAGCTCGATTCGAGTCTTAAATGAGTCAAATTTAAATAATTTTTTAAACTTGTTTAGAAAAATAAGCTTGTCAAACTTGGGCTTAAACTCGTAAAGTTCAATTCAATTAACACCCCTAACTACGAAACACAAATAAAAACTCAAAAACTTACATCCCAAATGATGTAGCCTCCTGATAAGTGCGCGAAAGTGCATTTTAAATACTCTATTATTGGATTAAATTGCTGAAATATGAATATAAATAATTAGATATAATTTATATTATTGAATTTAATATTTATTCACACTGAGATATAATTGAGCATGATTTTATAACATTTTAAATCTTAAATATTACATTATTGGTTAGTGAGAAATAATTTACAATTGGGCTTTATGTTTAATATTTTTGGAATTTTATTATTGGGCTTTTATATTTTTTTTATGGCAGTCCATGAAATAAAAAAACTGAAATTGATGTTGCTGTCACGTGGGCCCGACACTTATAATTTTTATTGGACTTTATCTTTTTCAAATTACACAAAAATTGGGCTTTGGGGCTGAAACAGAGAAGTTGGAATAAAGAGGGAATAAAGTGAAAAGGGCTAGAAAAAGAAAGGAAGAAAATATAATTTTTAAAAGGACTTTGACTTTTAAGAAACCCTTGTTTCTTCCCCGGACGCAGTGGAGGATCAGAAAAAATGTCGATGCTTGCTATTTTGCTTTATTTCCTTGAGAGATTTTTGTTGTCCATCATATTTATGGGTAATTAATTTCCTAAGTAAGGTTAGGGATGAGCTTGCACAGTAGAAGATATTTAATTTATTTTTAATTTATGCAGTTGATTTTTAATTACTAAAAGTCTTTTGTTTTATTATTCTCAATTTATTGTTGATATTTTCTTCTACTGATAATCATAGAATTTATTTTGTTTATGGATTCAGTCATGTTTTTTCTAATGAATGGATTAATTCTTTGATTATGGTTGGACCAATTATTTATCTATGTTGATTTAATTCTTTGCTGCAACATTGCTTTCTTGAGTATATTGTCGTCGTTGAATTTTCTCAATAATGATAATAATTTACGTATTTTAAAAGTGGTGAATGATTTTTCAAAGGGTAATATTGGGTTTAATCTTGGTTTACAAATCTATATCTTCCGGTTGGGAATTTTGGGAATTAAATTCTCAATTGAGTTATTCAATGAATTAAGAATAATTAAAATATTATATTTGTACAAGGGATTCCCGACATTTGACTGTTTGTCAAATTTGAATATTTTTTTCGTTAGTCACTTGTTTCACTTTAATTTGTATTTAAAATTAATCTTTATTATCTAGTAGTCATTTAATATTATTCTTTAGTTTCTTTGTTCAT